ATACCTAGAGTGGTCATGAAAATAAACAAAAAGATGTATGACATCTAGTATCAAATTAAAATACTGAATCCGACTGTGACACTTCTGTGCCAACTTATCTTCGAAGATCTGACTGGCGAAGGGGCAGAGGGGCAGGTGCAAACGTCAAGTGATCAGGAATTACTTAAAGTATGGACTTAACATATGATCGAGAATATCAGGCATAACTACGATGTGAATGAGGAAGATAGTAAGTCCTTTAACTGGCGAATTATATGAACTGGATCACTTGGAGAAACGCATCTGAAAACAAAAGAAATATTTGAGAAGTCCTAGAGCAAAACAGTTCACAGAAAAGAATGAACTCACTTGATTTTACCAGTTCCAAACAATTAAGAAAGGTAAACCACATCAGGTATTCACCAGAAATCGGTAATGCAGCATGAAGTTTTATATCATTTGTGAGTTAGAATAATTTCGGATAGAAGGTATTTACATAGTTATATTCTAAACTTTGATGGAATAAAAATATAGGTCACCTAGAGAACCTCTTAACTATTAGTCATTCGGTAACTATATTTTTGTTGTAGAACTCATCACGGATTCAAATCAATCGGAAGAGAGGCTAATGGAAACTAAAACACTTGGTGAATAGTCACTACGATATCCGTGGTTTGGTGGACTAGATCCACCAACCTTCGAATCTTGCCATTGCCCACCTTCAGTCACCACCCAGTATCAATTATACAAGTCTGCCAAACAACAAATATTTCAGATAGTTAAAGTGATATTGTGGATAAAATTGATCAAGTAAATATTGTTTCATAATATCAATGATTTGCAATTCTGACTTGATTATAAATAAATTCATCTGATTGAATAATAAGTGAGCTTATTTCATCGACTGGTCCATAACTGTCAATACACACTCGCCTTAGCCACAAGCTTAAAATACTCACTATACTCCAGATTAAGATCTCTAGGATCGCTTGTTATGACCAAGCAACAAGAAATGTCAAGTATCGACTAGGCAAACGTGCAAATGTAACCCAGAACAAATATCGTCAAGGACAATTCATACCATGAACAAAATCAATACGATACTTAAGGACGCTCAGTCATAACAAGCATGCTCGAAAAAGCAACTGTAGGAATTCTTCCATATAAATATAGTGTGTAAGGCGGTTCCTAAATTTTTTGCCACCACAGTTAGGCATTTGATAAAGCCACTCATCTGTAAGAAATATCAACGTGGACCACGCAGTCTATAAATCATTAGCAAATTAATCATCTTAATGGAAATAATTATGCTCACCGTGTAGGAGGATTCTGGCAGTGTAGTGGGCGTTGCTGATAGGAATGGATTATAAGTAGTGCATGTTGAGAGGGCAGCAGAGATTATAGGGAATCACCCTGCAATTGGTAAGGATTCTGTCCAGAGAAACGCAAGAGACAACGCGGGCGTATTGAGAGCAAATCAAAAGGGAAACAGAAGAGAAAATGAAGCAAATTTTGCAAATGACTGTCTTAGTGCAAGGTGTACCATTTTTAACGACTACTGTACCATATCTTATCGATAGGTATTCTTTCCTTCGTCTTGTCGTTACTTTCAGAATCACTATTTAGTGCGTACTCTATGCTGTCTCTATCTTTTCATTTTGCATCAATCTGTGTGATCATTGTAATACCATTTACGTATCCTTCAAGCAAGCGGGTCACAGGTTCGGGCATCACCTCAACCACCGTGGTTACTCTCTAGTGACCAATCAGTCTGCATGAAATCTACCTAGATGGTGCTATCAAAAGTATCCTTATCTAAACGCTTGGTTAATATTACATTGGGTTGATGTACCATTGTGACTGGCTAATTAATATACTGCTGGAGAATAGACACGTGAGACGTTGACGAATGTACCGCGTAACTATTAGTAATTACTATAGGACCACTCTTTTGGTAATCCGATGATAACTTTGAAAACCCATTTGTCAGAGTACAACCTTAGATGAAGTGTTTGTGTGCACCTTCTTAAAAAAGATACTTAATATAGATTATCTGTTAAGACGTCAATAGATATCTTTAATCTTGTAAATATTTTAACGTGAAGACGTGCACCTCTAGACAACCATCATTTTTGCGTCTTTCTTGTGTTAATTACCAATTATATACTCGGAATCAACAGTTCAGCTATTTACAGTCACATCGGTAACTTTTTATCCAAAAACAACTTTTTAGATTCTTCTTCTGAGCGATTTGACGCGTTTTCTTTTGTTATCACTACTTACACTGAAATAAGGTACTGATTAGTTTGGTATCGGTGCACATCGATTTATTAAGACTGGTCACATGTTACGTGATATCAACATAGTCAACCTCATACAAGTGTACTGAAGATGAACATTTGTTCATTCAATGCGCCTTGTTCCAAATCGGAATATTCAACATCCTGATTTGTTGAACTCAAAGCTATAGAAAGAACTAGGATCTAGTGACTAAACAACAGTGAGATAAGACAGAAAATAATCATTAATTCTGCTCAAAATGAATGTGTGAAAGTAAGAGATATTCAAACACGCATACATTCTACCATCCGTGAACATGTATCACGAATCCTCATTACAAAAATAACTCTGAATAGGATGGATTATTAGAATATTTGATATTACCATTTCATACCAACATCCCAGTTTGTGCGCTGTCATATCCTCTTTGACGACTTTTTAATGATAGGAGTACGTAACACATTAGATTACATAAGGCCATCATACTGGACACAACTCTCTCAACAGTAGCTACAAAAGTTTTATTTAGAAAAAACATTCTTGGTGTTTCTAAGTAGTTTTAATGTTGTTGGTCCTATTATCCCGTCGTTGACTGGACCGAATTGACCGGGTTCCCGCCTCAATATTGCCTGGATTTTGAGTGTTGCTCCCATCGAGACTCGAACCCAGGACCGATCGCTCCAAGCGCCAGAGCGTTACCCACTAGACCACGATAGCCATTTTTTGTGCGACAGGCTTAGCTACAGCGGATACTGTAGTCTAGTGGATAACGCTCTGGCGCTTGGAGCGATCGGTCCCGAGTTCAAGTCTCGGTGGGAACAACATCACTGCCTGGGAGGTTGGCACGTCGGACTGACAAGTTCCAAATAGGACTGGACGCACGTCCTGGATCCCACTGCTAGATACTGTCCGTCATTAATTTCTATGTAGTACCTGATTTTCATTACTGACATTCATCGATTCGTACAAGCAGACTCGTAACCGCATAAACACCGTGTACGAAACTATGTTATATCTACCGTAACGGGTTGCTATACTACCTAGTAGCTTAAATCCGGGTGAATGGTTCTGTTCCCAAGAGCCTGTAGCATGCAACCTGACAGTTGAATACCTGAAACAGTTCGTCAAAACACTGTGCACTTGTCTTAAAACTTCAATATTCATAATGAATCCTTGCACCACTAAATCATACAGCTGACTCTACATAGAGTAAAGTTAGCTAAGTTCTAATATTAATAGTGTGAAATTTACTGGCTTAGAAACTCGATTTCCAAGCAAAGGGTCCGGGGTTCGAGACCCGCCCACCTACTACAGCCTGGGTAACCAAGTACCATCATAAGCTGATACCCCAGAAGATAGACATGGACCCGGATGAGTTATATTAAGTAACCAGATTACCATTCAGCTGATCCTTCTTATAAATTTTAATGGAAAGATACAAGTCCCGCATTACTATAATCGCTTCATTTTAAACCGTGTACTGCGACTAATCAGGTGAATCGGTCACAGAACTTCAATTATTCAATATTATGCAGTGACGAGTTTGATTCTCCAAGCTTTATCAACTGATAAGAACTTTTGTTCTTTCATTCAAAGCACTCTTCCGACTACCTTCTGTCCTGTCATATGGCGGCGTGACATGGCTGCTAGAAGACATGAAACGGTAATAGATTTTCGACCACATGTGGCTCTCTAGCATTGCTAACGTTTGATGGAATCACCATGTGAGCAAGGTTGAAGCTGCGAAGAGGGTGTTAGGCAAGGTTGTGAACCTTCATCAATTCAGGTGGCTTGGACACTTGCTGCAAAGGTCGAGTCACTGCCACCTACCACGACACGCAATGCTAGGAGAAGTTGGATTAGGTTGGAAGGTCAGAATGGCCAGATTGGTACCAATCAATGAAGTATCCGACTGTTGGTCAGAGTCGTGTGGATCACCTGGCTGGTGTCTCCGAAACCACAGGAATCAATGGTTGAGGACTCTTGGTGGAATGGTTGAAAACCGGTTAAATGGCACAGATGTATTCACTGCTTATCATCTTCTAAAGCATGAGTATTTTCGCTAACCATTATGTTCAAATTGTTTATTCTCTCATACAACTTTGATATCAGTCTTTTTCTATCTACCTGTTCTTTGTGTACTACTATGGAGTGTGGAAACTTGAACCGAAGCACCTGCGTGCGAGATTCTGCACTGACTTTGTCAGTCAGTTACCGGTCCACCCACCGAGGTTCGCGCAGCCAGATAGCATCATTGGCTCTCATGCAATGTGTACAAGGTTGCTGAGGGGATTCGGTTCGAGTGTGTTTCTCTGTTTTTCCAACTACTGTAACGATGATACAAAAGGAAGTAAAGATTTCATCAGATGAAATATTATCACAGACAGATTACTAAAGCTAAACAGTAAATGAGGTAAAGTCTCTTCTTTTACTACTGATAATACAATCTACCTACTAATAATTTGCTTGATATAGCAGTGAACTCAGCTATGTGAAGTGAAGAGTGCTGAAAACTAAGGTGAAACAACAATTTACTACTAGCTCTTTTACAATGACAACCCCCAAGCTTATGTTAATATATGCTGAAAGCTGTCAATAGCTAACAAACCAAATATCAACGAACAAGTGAGCTGGATCACATATAGACGAACCGGTTTGACATTCAACCTTTGAGTATCTACGAATGTTATATAGAACATATATGCAACGAGGATTCAGTTGAATAGCAATAAAAAGAACCTAGTCATAACACATATATATAAATTTTTAATTCTGAGAATCGCAAACAAAAGAAGAGGGCCACATCGAAATGACTGAAATATTATGAAAAGAAAACAAAAGGAGAATAAAAAAACAAAAAGGCAAACATAAATAGGGTAATTAAGACAGACAAAAAATTATTGTGAAGACAATACAATTACACTAAAGTCATCAATCTTCATAGAGATGAAAGTGAGAAATGAAAACAATGAGACAAGTTGTAGTACAGTAAGTAGTAGAATTCATTCATACTAAATATGCAGTTTTCAGATATTTTTCTTCAGCTTAACTTCTTCTTCAGATGATCTTGCCACTGTTTCTGTACATAGTGATGGGATATCATTTGGATCGCTACTACAGACAATACTACTATGATTACCGGTGGCAGTAGTAGCGACAGCAGTATTATTATTATTACTAGACGATTTCATTTTTGATTTCCCTTTCTTATTCAATGGTATTTGAACATCGGACACGTGCTTAAATGAATACAACGGACGAAATGAATCAAAAAACCCGCAATCTTCAAAATAATTAGGAAATATCCAAAAGTTATACTGACCAAGTGTGGATAACCAAACGAGTAAATAAATACAAAAACGTACTAATCCTATAAAAAATAAGAGACCTAAAAATCCTGAACCGATGATTGTTAGATAGTAAGCGCTTTGACGCAATTCTGACGGCCAGATAGGGAATAGACAACACAATATGATGCAGATAATTAAAGCTGCACCAGCTAACCAATTGAAAAGACCTGGTGGTGGTTCATAGATCCAAATGTAAAATGACTGTGGATCATCTAGGACAAATGTTTGCTCGTCGACAACTTCTAATCGCATCGGTTTTCTAGAGCTACTCGATGACTTTGTGATTTCATTGATACTGGAAGATATAGATGAGAAAATACTAGATTTGGTTGATGTGGACTCGAATTCTTGAACAGTTGGCTATTGGTGAAAGAAAACGAAAAGAATAGAGAACCGTTAAAGCATCAAAAACTGAAATCAGGTCTTAGATCATTTTATCAAAGTTAAAAACATCATTATCTAGCATTAAAGGTCAATGGAAATTATCAAAAACATTTGACAGTATCCACCAAGCCAACAGTGTAAACTTTCACACTAGTACAAAACAAACAAAGCACCATCAGCAGTAGAATCTATGTGGTATTGCTGACGTTTTAGTGAACACTGCAGAATGATAGCGTGATATGAAGATCCTAACGTAGTTGGGAACCACTGGCTTGTCGCAGTGGTTCAATGAAGCTACCTCTTTGCGTTCCTTGTAAAAATACCACCTATAAAGAGGGACTTATGTTACAGTAAATTAATCTCTACCTGAGAGGTAGTATTGTTGGTTATATCGAGGTGTGCCATACCATCTTACCTCATTACAGAATCCCCTAAACCATACAAGCTATTCGTTTTGGTGTTTTGAGCAGTTACTTCCCACATACAACTTTCTGGATGACTTATTCTTTATTATGCAGACATCATAGTCGTTTTAAGCGAACTGGTACACAACACATTCTGAACATCTTGGACAAAATTTAGAGGTTTGTCACAACCTACCCTCTTATCAATAATAAAGACCAGGATCAATAGTAGAGATTTTAGTGGTTGAACGCCATCATGATTTTACAAGATTACGACAGTTACATCAGTCCTAGTTGACTAACTGACCAATAAAATCTTAGAGTGGATATGAAGAGCTTCTTTGAAACTTACCGACCAACAATATCTGTGTTGTGTGACATATTAGAATGCTTATACGGAATCAAATCTGTAGTGTATCACTGTACTCTATCCAAGATACAGCAGCAAGATTGAACACTGGAAAAAACTGAACCTAAAAATGCTTCATAACTGAATCGGTTGAAAGTGAATAAAAACAAACTTCTTTGTGCTTTTCTGAGTGAAATTCACAACATTATGGAACACAAGACAATAAATATACCTCAAGCAATTCGACGCAGTAGATTTGTTTGGCATAATTTTCGCACCTGCCAAATGTCATCATCATCAATATCAACATAGGACTAGGCATTACTACGTGACTGTCCGAGTTGCCACACCTCAGTATAGTACATCAAAAAGAAAGGTAGTGAGGTACAAGATGAAGATAAGAGAATGCAGTCAGAAGAAATATAAAGTACGCGAAGAAAGAAAAGAGGAATGACAAAACGGTGAGATTCGGTATAGCGTCGTTAAAATGAGGATAATGTGTGTTTACATCTGCGCCACTGACATCGGTTCTCAGCCATATTCCCTAGAGTCTCCAACCACTAGTCCCTCTTATCCCGCGGACCCCAACCACCTAGTCTGCATCTCCCCACATGGCTCAAACCAACAGTCACAAACTTCATACATTGGTGCCATGTTTTAGTCTGGCCACCTCCAGACTTCGACCAACATTGTGTGACGAGGCAATCGGTGACTAAGCATACGTAGTACGTGTCCCAACCATCTCAGTCGATGAAGGTTCATAACCTCGTCTACTGATGTACCTCTGCTCCCTAAAACTCCACACCTAACTTCTGCACACACACTTCTGCACAATGTACACTAGTGATTAAAAAAAGCCGAAGAAAGTGAAGCAAAACTTAACAAAACTGGAAGAATCTAAAAAGTGACAATAGCATAGTAATTGCAAAAGCTGATAAAGGCAATTATTCAACGGTATTTATGAACATATCGGATTACTTCACGAAAGCCAATGAACACAACCGAATGTGTCCGCTTTGATACCACTTTTTCCATCTATATGCATTGTATACTACTGCGAAGTGTGGCAGCTCGAGCCGATGGACTTGTGTGCGAGGTTCTAAATTGACTTTGCCTGTCATATGAAGAGAGATTAATATTACTCACAGGCACTGTTATGAATAAGATTAAGAGCTCTACACAGTTGGTTTAGTAGGTCAAATGAAGCCGTCTCTGGGTGGGTCAAAGTACTTTACGACATTAATGCCAAAAACTAATAACTCTAGTAGGAGGCATAGTACCATTAAAGTTCATGGGTCAGGTTATCCTATTAAACATGTAGTTGCGTTTAGGAACATTCCAACATATGAGCTATCTAAACATTTAAAACCGTTACCCAATTAGAAAGGACTCAAAATCTAGGCTAACCAATTCATATGAAATGAAGCAAAGGTTAGATAATATTCAGTTAGAAGAGGATGAAAGAATGATTACTTTTGATAAGATGAACTTAATATATCGATGTACCAATTACTACGGCTCTAGAAGTTGTCAGAAATTATTCTGAAGCCGCTCATGGAACTAAGGTACTGAGTGAAGACATCAAGTCAGCTGTTCAGTTATGTTGCACCTCTATAGTTTTCGAATTTCAAGATAAGATATATGAACAAACGGAATGAGTACCCATGGGACCACCAATATTCACAGGTCGTAGCAGATATTTTTATGGCCATTTCACTAAGAGTCCTCAACCACTAATTCCTTTTTGTCTCGAGGACCCTAACCAGACAGTCTACATCTCCCCACACGACTCTGACCAACAGTAAGGGACTTTATCGACTGGCGCCACGTCTTCGTCTGGGCACTTTGAACCTTCTTCCAATCTAAACCACTTTTAATATAAGTGAAAAACTTGGGCACTGTGGTAGGATGTAATTCCATATTAGATTTGTTTATTTGATATAAAGCGCACAGTGATACAGTATTATTTACTTGATTACGTTTCGAGCATAAATTATTGCTCATAATCATATCAATGTAATGACACTTCTTTCGATATCTGATTTTATAGTCCTGTCACCTGATCTCTTTGTTTTTTTTGTTTTTTGATTGGTAGTAAAGTTTTCCATATCTCTGGTATAGGTGTTGCGTCATTCGTAAATAATACTGTATCACTGTGCCCTTTATATCAAATAAACAAATCTAATATGGAACTAAACCACTTTTCCCTAGCATAGCACGTCGAGGCAGGTAGACTGCAAAATAAGGCAAAAACAAGATAGTAGTTTAGACACGAGTATTTAGAGAAATCCATCACATTCCAATAGAGATCTAGACGTTACGTCATCGGATTCTATATCGGTAGAGATAGGGTGAGTCAAACATTTAAGTAATCGAGCTAAAAGTCTGTCCAGTAAACCATTTGAAAAATTTAAATGATGAAATGAGATACATAAGAGAAGCCTTACTTGTCAATAATTATTATCGAAAATTTGTTTAGAAATGCATAAGGATGCATAGGAAGGAGAAGTAATGCCATAAATGATAATTGCAACACTAACAAGTAGCAACTCAATGCACTTGTGGTGCCATAACATAAGAAAGAGACATCAGGATTCTAAGTGCAGCTGCGATTATGGTGCTATTCACACCCACAAACTCACTGAGAGATAAACTTTGTTCGCTTGAGGATTATATGGACCCAATTAGACAAAATAATTTAATTTACCAAATACCTTGCAATAACCTTGAGATCTTGCACATAGGTCAAACTAGCCAAACGATTTCAATCAGAATAACAGAACATTGGAAGTTAGCTAAGTCTAGACGGATGGATTTTAATGCGATGAGTAATCTAGAACGGCATTCAGCCACAGGCATACATGCAATAACACAGAACGACAAAATAGAGTGAGACAGAGCAATGGTACTGAAGACTAATGTAGTCATTTGGAGAGAGAAGTTGACCACTGAACCTCTTTTCATCAATTCAACGCATAACGCATGTAATCGAAATGATACAATAACCTTTCCGTGTGTGGAAACTTTTATTACCAGTGAAATCAAATAATGGAAAAAGATAGAAGTATAAAAAACAGGCCAAAAAAGTTGTGCAGTTATGAACAGTAAATTCTGTTCGAAAAAACGTAGTAAACAGTACTACACCTGTGTGAAATATAAAAGTCGACTACTCTAATATGCAACTACCTTCTACCACAAAGTCCAAATTCTATACTTACATCACATTTTTTTAATTTGTCCCCTGGGTTCCTTCAGTAGCACGCCTCCATTCCACTCTCTTCTCTGCAGTCTTCTGAATCTCGCTCCACAACTGCCCACAAGCTTTCATTTCTTCCTCACATGATCTCCTCCATATCACCATCGCCTCGGACGCCCAACTCGTCCCTTCCCATTTGGATTTCACTCAACGGCCTGACGCATGATGTCCCCAATCGGCCTTCTCAGGGTATATCCAATCCATCTTCACTTTCTTCTGCATATTTATTGTGTGATAGTTTCTTAGTTGGTTAGTTGCCCGGTCAGAGTTCGTTGTTGCTAATTCTTATTATTCTGGCCATCTGATCTTCAGTATCGAGTGAACGTAGGAGGCAGCTATAGATGGATGTCTATAGTTTGTTGGAAGTGCTTTTCGTAACGCGCCAAGTCTCTGAACCATCACATTGAAGCACTGGCTTGACTGGCATTAGTGTTGAAAATCCTGATCTTGTTCACGCTTTGTGCTGAGTGCAGTAGATCTCCACACTGCTTTCAGATTAATGAAAGCCTGTCTTGCTTTTCCAATCCTGGCTATGACGTCTTCATCTGTGCCACCTCTAGTTGAAACGATGCTGCCTAGGTAAGTGAGAGAGACTACTTCCTTTAGGTTTCTCCCGTTAATGGTGATTGGTGCTTATTGTTACTGTTGTTGTTGGTTGGGTATCCTCATCACCTCCGTCTTCTCTACATTCATTTGAAGTCCCGTTTTCGCTGCTCTGCCTCTTCTGTCGACTCGTTAGTTTTTGCCTGTACATATTCGAGTTTGTGTGACATTAGACATAAATCATTATGGGTGAAATCTAAATGTTCTAGGCTTTTTTCATCGGTCGAACGGCTTATGCCCCTCTTTTCGCTCCTCAAGGTTTGCCGCATGATCCATTCGACCACACTAAGCAATATCATCGGCGATAGTTGGCAGCCTTGTCAAACTCCTGTCTTCACTTCAAAGGCGTCACTGAGCTTTCCAT